TAAATGCGAATGGATCAATATGGATAACTTTTTTGGTTCAAGGAGAATTAGCAATAAAATTATATGCTAAATACAATATCTTCCATTCCGTAATTTTTTGGGCTAACTTGAAATAAAACAATCAAGATTAGTATAACAGTTTAAGTTGTTTCCCCTTTGAAGTACAAAACTTATTACGGAATGAAGGATATCTTTTCAACTAGAGAAAAGTATCCTCATAGAGAAAAAGCTCCACATTATATCGGAAAAAAGTGTATATATATATATATATATAATATTCTCTAGTAATGAAGTTGATAAAAATGTTAGTCTAACTGCAAGTTAAGAGGCATTTTCCATTCTGCCTTACATATTTTCCGGAAAATCTTTTCTACAAAACATAGTACATGAAGTCACGTCTTAGTAAAAATGTTAGTCTAACTTAGGGTTGCAAACGAGTCGAATCGAGTTGAGTTTTAACCTAATCGAGTCGAGTCTTAACTTAGTTTTGTTGAACTTGAATTCGAACTCGAGCTCGACGAGCTGACAATTTAAAGGTCAAATTCAAGCTCGAAAAAAATAAAATTTTATTTTTTAAAAAATAAATAAAATAATATTTTATTCTTAATAAATAATAAAATATTAAGGATATATATATATATATATGTAATTTTACTATTAAAATAAAAAAAAAATATATATATATATATATACTTGACCTCGCGAGCCTAACGAGTTTGAGTTCGACTCGAGCCAGTTCGAGTTCGACTCGAGTTCGATATTAATCGAGCTTGACTCGAGAGGCTCGATTCGTTTGCAACTCTAGTCTAACTGCAAGTTAAGAGGCATTTTCCATTTTGCCTTGCATATTTTCGGGAAAATCTTTTCTACATAACATAGTACATGAAGTCAAGTCTTAGTAAGTCTCTCCAGAAAAATGCCTCTTACTGTATATATTCTCTAGTAATGAAGTCAAGTCTTTGGCATGTCTATGTGATTCTAGTTGTTGACTATAAAGAAGACATTTCAGTCCACCATTAATTGATCACAACGTTCACATTACATCTGCATGCCATCAATGGCATTAATAACGCAAAACCATTAAGGTCCTCTTAAAAAAAAATAAAGAGAGAAATATAGTTTTGGCCTCCAATATTTATATAAAACAAATTTCTATAATTTATCAATTAACTTTAGAATGAATTAGTCTTTTTCATGGAATTTATGTTATTCAATAAAATTATCAATGTACATGGACATCTAAAAACTGCTTTAAAGCTCTATTATTGGAATATTAAAACTTTTATAAGAGGAGAGGAAAAAAAAAAGAATTTAAGTCCTTAAAAGAGCTTTGTGTCGGTAATTATTGCAATCTCAAAACATAAAACCATTTGAACTTTATGTCAAAAAGTCATGCTAAAAACATCTTGCACATTTCCAGGAAAATCTTGCCACAAAACTCAGCACATGAAGTCAATTCTTTGGTAAGTTTCCCTTCGTAAAGAAGTCTTTGGTAAGCTTATGTCATATTAGGAATTTATCATAAAGAAGACTTTTGAGTCCACCACTAATTGATACCATTCACATTTCATCTGCCATGCCATCGATAGCCCTAACTGTTATTAAACGCGTCACAAGAAATCCGTTGATTGGCCAGCTTTGAAATAACAAGGTTAATATTGTTTAGAGCACAGATTTATCGACTGTTCTAATGACTTTAAAAGGATAATTTGTGCTATGATTTGTGCATCCAATAGTGGAAATTCACACTCAAACAAACAGTAAAACACTACCTAGTATTTTATATGGATTTTATGTCAAAACCGTTGAGGCATTCCCCATTCTCTCTTTCAAAGATGTGTTCGTCTTGTTAAACTTCATTGCTCTCACTTTCCCTTGTATTCATTCCATCAACCTCCGCAGGTTACTAGCAATTTCTTGAGCTTTAGTGTTGCAGGATACTCCTACTGGTTAGATATGGAGGCAACGCTTGTTTCCTTTATTAAAGTTCTAGGAGAGAAGGCTATTTCAATAGCCAGTGAAGAGTTCTGTCATTTGGTCGGTTTGAAAAAGGGGATGCAGCTGTTGAAGGAATCATTGTCCATGATCCAGGCTGTCCTTCATGATGTAGAGAGGCGACAGGTTGGAGAAGAAGCTGTGAAGCTTTGGTTAGAGAAGCTTGAAAATGTGGCTTTTGATGCTGATGATGTGTTGGATGAGTTCAATTATGATGTTCTTCGACAAAAGGTTCAGATGCAAAACCAAATGAAGCACAAGGTATGCTTCTTCTTCTCAATTTTAAGCCCAGTTCCATGCAAACATGTCAAACTGGCAAAGAAAATTCATGATATGAATGTGAAGTTGAAAAGCATAAATGAAGATGCAAAGAACTTTGGCTTTCTTTCACAAATAGGTGCAAATGCAACTGCATCACTTCCTTTTCCTAGTAGATTCATCATGTTAAATCGAGAGACTGACTCTACTAATAGTTGTTCTACTTTTATTGGAAGAGATAATGATATAGCAAACATACTAGAAAAGTTGACTGCAAAGAGTGATGAAATTGTCTCAGTTATTCCCATAGTTGGAATGGGTGGGATTGGGAAGACAGCGTTGGCTAAAAGAATTTTCAATCATCATAAAACTCAAAATCAGTTTGATGAAAAGATCTGGGTATGCGTGTCTGAAAATTTTAATGTGAATAGGCTTTTCGGATTGGTTCTAGAATCATTGGGGCAGAAGACTGGAAAAGAGAGTCGAGAAGCAAGAACTAGAAAACTTCAAGAGAAATTGGAAGGCAAGACATACGTCATGGTCTTGGATGATGTTTGGAATGAAAACCTTGGTATGTGGGATGATTTTATGGGATCACTAAAAGGTATCAACACAACCACGGGAAATTTCATACTTGTGACCACCCGCAAGCACCAGGTGGCCTCCATTATGGCGACATCATCTTCTCATTGTTCTTTAGGAGAACTATCAGATGATGAATGTTGGCTCATATTCAAAGAGAAAGCAATTGGCCGACACGAAGTGTTGGAAGAGTCCCGAGCCATAGGATTGGAGATTGCACAAATATGTCAAGGTTTACCATTAGTTGCATGTACAGTTGGTGGCATGTTGCGTAACAAGAGAAGAGAAGAATGGATTTCAGCTTTAAAGAGGGGGCTCCAAGGTTTAACTGAAAATGAAAACAACGTGATGCACATATTGAAGTTAAGCTTTGATAATCTTCCATGCCCAGCTCTTAAAAGATGTTTTGCATATAGTTCAATTTTCTCTAAGGATTCTGTTATGGAAAGGGACCAACTAATCCAACTTTGGATGGCCGAAGGATTTCTACAAACACATTCGAGAAGCATGGATATGGAGGAAATTGGCAACATGTTTTTCAACATTTTACTGCAGAATAGCTTGTTCCAAGATGTAGAATGGGATGAGTATGATCGCATTCTCTCTTGTAAAATGCATGATCTTGTGCATGATCTAGCGCAATCCATGCAAAACTCTCAACGCGATGAAGATGACATTCATCCTATTCGGCATCTTGCATTGGAGAACTGTGGAGAAGAAACACCATCCATCCTAAACAAGAGGTTCAGATACATAAGATCGTTATTTTCAGTATACGATATTTCTGAAGATGTGTCATATTTTATCTCTTTGCGAGTTCTTAACTTATCTTCAACAGATCTGACTTTGCTTCCTAAGTCCATTAGCAAGTTATTTCGTTTAAGATACCTTGATCTGTCTGATACACCAATTGAAGGCTTGCCAAACTCTATTTGCAAGCTTTACAACTTGCAGACATTGAGAGCCAGAGATTGCTATGGCCTGAGAGAGTTTCCTATGAAGTTCAAGAATTTGATAAGCTTAAGGCATTTTGATTATTTTACCGATGACAGTTGCAGTAGTCGGATGCCGTTTGAGTTGGGGAAGTTGGCTTGTCTTCGAAAACTACCCTTCTTCAATGTAGGTGAAATAAAGGGTTGGAAAATTGAAGAGTTGAGAAACTTAAAGAACCTAACTGGCAGACTAGAGATACGGAATCTTGAGCTGGTCAATTGCAAAAAAGAAGCCGAGTGTGCAAATTTATTGGAGAAGTCAAACATCCATGAGTTGACATTTGCATGGTGCGAGGACCAAATAGATACAAACCGAGCGATTGGTGTATTGGAAGGCCTAAAACCTCACCCAAATCTGAAAGGCTTGATTCTGAAAAATTTCATGGGAAACCAACTAGCATCTTGGATTTCAGATCTTCGTAACTTAGTGAAATTGGAAGTAAGAAATTGCCGAAGATGCAAAGAGATACCTGCTCTTGGACATTTGCCCTTTCTGCAATATCTTGAGTTGGCAGGACTGGACAACATAACATGCATAGGGCCTTCCTTTTATGGTTTTGATAATTCTGATGCATCCAGCAGCAACCATAGCAGTGGTCAAGCAGTAACAAGGTTGTTTCCGGCACTTAAATATCTTATCCTCAGTGACATTGAAAATCTTAAACACTGGATGGAATTGTCAGTGGAGATAATTCCAACAGATCGTGTGGTAGTGTTTCCTATCCTTGAGGTGTTAGATATTCATCGGTGTCCCCAATTAACCACTGTTCCAACTCAATTCCCAAGTCTTAAGAACTTGGCCATCAGTTACATCAACCACGGTTTGCCAGTAGTAACAAAGATTTGCAGCAAAGTGATCACTCTGACACATCTCCTGCTTCATGGAGTGCAAGGGCTTACTTGTCTTCCTGATTGGTTGTTACTCAACAACGCCAATCTTACAAAGCTAACATTATGTGATTGTCTTGATTTAAAACACCTTGTTTCTGACAGCCAAGATTGCAGCATTGATCATCAAACACATAATCTCAACGGCATTGGGTCACTTGAGACACTGTATATATTAGATGTAGTCAGCTGAAGTCAGTTCAAATTCCTAGCAGATTACTCGGCTCCCTACAAAATATTGTTATTTCGGAATGTCATGGCTTGATCAATTTGTCAAGTGAGATAATGAAGTCCTCCGCTTCTCTTGATCACTTTGAGGTGTCCAACTGCTCCAATCTCAACTCATTTCTAGGAGATTTAGAGCTAACACCTTCTCTCTCGTATTTGTGGCTGTCCCACTGTGTGCAACTCACCAATATGCCAAACGGGATTTGCTGTCTTACAAGCTTGAGGCATTTGACAATAGGTGCTTTCTCGGATACCATGGAGTTTAGTTCATTCAGAGACGCCTTCAGTGGTTTCAAACATCTATCCTCTTCCCTTCTCAGATTACATTTGTATGGGCAGCCTCACTGGGAATCTCTGCCTGACCAACTTCAGCACCTCTCTGCACTAGAAGAACTCAAGTTGTATGATTTTGGAGTAAAATTTTTGCCTGATTGGTTTGGGAAGCTCTTGTCTCTTGAAAAACTACATCTGCGTGCATGCTCAATCCTACAGCATTTTCCTCCTCAGATAGAGATGAGAAGACTCACCAAACTAAGCGAATTGTATATTATAGACTGCCCCTTGTTAACGCAGAGATGCTATCCACGGAGTGACTCCAACCCAGAGTGGTGCAAGATTTCTCACATTTCAGGAATATTGATTCCAGGATTCCGAACTGATGGCAAATATTCTTGAAGTTTGTAATGTAAGATCCAATTTCCAGTTGCTTTTTCCTAGCCTTCTATGCAACTCTTTCAAGTTTCATTTACATTGGAGACTGTTATTATTAAGCACCAAGTTTTTTTTTTTTTTTGGTGTGTGTAAACGGGTTTCAAGAGAATTGAAATAAAAGTTGCTTCATCATGATCATTAAAAGTTACTTCTTAACATTGATTTCAATTACTTGAACCTTCGGTAACGATATAGCTGCATATGCGATTAACAAAATACCTGTATCTTAGTTGAATTCATAACCAGTTAATTTACCCAATATTATAAGAACGTTAACCTTGATTTTGTAAATGATAGTCAACTCCATTTCTATCCCACGCTAAACATGAACTTGCTGAAATATCTACCTATAATCAATTTTTACTCAATACTATGAGAATGCTAACCTTCAATTTTGGCTAAATATCATACTAGATTCCTGTGCTACTGTATATCAGGAATAACCAGTTTCTTAGTTATCAGCAATTGAATGTCACGAATGAACTGCATATCAGAGCATGCAATGGGTAAAGAACGAACACAAGATTATGCAGGAACAATGTGTCAGAAACCAAAGTAACCAAAAGATCATTTTACCTCATATGTTGCATATTCTTGTGGTTCCTTTGCTTGTAATAGCTGTGACTTTTGGTATCAAATTGCTCAGTGGTCAAAAACAGAGGAGTCTTTCGTTTTCAAAGGTTTTTTTAATGTTTCTTCTCTGATGTTGGCCTTGGTTTGACATCAATACTATATATCAATGCTATGACCAGCACTATTAAGGTGAGGTATGATCACATTATATGTCTTCTTCATCAAACTCTATCATTCATGACTCAGCTCTTGTCGCTTTTGCTGCCATGCCTTCCATTGGAACTCAACTGAATGTCTTAACAGAGGTGACAGACTCCCATCATGACTTCTCACCCGAAACTACCTTCTATCGTCTCAACAGTAATGAAGTTCCGGATCAGTTATAGATGCAAATTTGAAAAGGCAAATTAGTTTCAGGGATCTGCACAAAATTCAAGTGGGGAAAAAAGAGCTCACATTCTGTACCGATGAGGAGAAACCTTTGCCAACTATTTGTAGTAAGACAGTCATAATGATTGAAATCGCTTTAACCAGTCCTTAACTGCAACATAGATAGTATGTGTATCAGTAAACTCCACACCACATCACAGATTTTTTCAAAAACGAAATTTAGTCAGCATGAGATAATCCAATCATACCCATACAGAAAAGCATCTGCCTAGGACTAGCCAGCATCTTGTAAAATTATCAGCCTGAAATGCGTTTCATGTCACCTTCCAATTTTAGAAGCTTGATTACAATATAAAAGAGATAAAGCTTGAAAGAACCAACAAAATTGTAAATTTGCTTTAATTTAGTATTTCAAAGCAAGAGTTGTCGTAATCTTTGGAATGTCGCAGAATGGACAGAAGAGAGAGAAAGACAGACAGATAATATTCTCGATTGTATGATCTTCCCAAACATTATCCAAAAATGAAAACAATAAATGGAAAATGAAAAGTTTGACAGCCATACAAAACCTCAGACTATGAACTCAATTGGACCAGATGAAAGCAGACAGAGAATAGATTTGTGAGAACACCAAGAAGTGAGCTACCCAGAGAGTCCAAATCAACTAATGTGCACCAGAAAGTTACAGAAAGGTCAACTTACTATGGCATTGAAACACAAAATGTTGACCTTCCTAAGCAAAGTTGGAGACAAGAATTTATTCTCTAGGAATTTGCCATGCTAGACAGCAGAAAAATGCTGAACTAACATAAAACATCTCACAATATTAGCCTGTTGGTATTTGAGATCAGTTATTAACTCCAACATCGAACAAAATTATTTCTTAAACAATAGGAAAACTTCTAAAGCATATGACATAGACATGATGAAAAGCACACTATATATAGATCCTCTCCTACTCTCTCCTTTCAATGACATACACTTAGGATACTCATTCCAGTTCAGTTTTACTCTAGACATGTGAATCAAAGTCAAATGTTTAACATATAGCCCAAGTACCTAACTATCAGCACTTTTCTAATTGCAAAAGTATCTTTCCCTACCATGAAGCACATTTTGAAGCATGAGCATTGGAGAATTGAGTCAGGCTGTTAAATTTCAATAATTTATTTATTTTTTGATGTACAATCCACAATATTCTTTAACCAAATATAATCACAGTCCCTAATTAATGAACAGCATTCATAACTTAAATCTCTATAAGAAATTAAATATAGGACACAAATTCACAAGGAAATTTTAACTAGGTAATGTTTGAAGAAAGGATACAGAGCTTGAACCACAACAGCAAAATCAGTTTCCTTGAATGCCAAAAGCTTGATTTACGTCAACTTTACCTTTAGTATTGTGGACAGCATATTTTTAGCATATTCTTGCTGCTCTTTCCTAACATTGTCACTCAAACTATTCCAGGTATACATCGATGCTATAAGTCAATTCATGTGATACTTGAAAGTTCTGGCTAGAGTTTCCTGTGATGAAGCTGTGGAGTATAGACTTAAGGATCATGACTGAATTTTAAGTCTGTAAACCAAGGAACAATACAAATTCCTAAGAGAAGGAAGAAGTACTCCAAAGATACTTGGCAATAAAAGATCAAGGCAATGCAAGAGTTATTCCTGATCTTAACAAATAGCTCCATCCGCCAGGAAAATTCAATAGCTTGGAATGTTAAAATATGTATAATCACAAATTTAGAAAACTGACACCTAGAAATTAGAACGGAGACAGAGAACATGGAAATATAGATATGATAACAATAAATAACCATCACAAATGGAAAGAACAATACAGTCATAAATACGACAACAATTATCAATCTAACCCTCATAAATGATCCTTCCACTTCAACTATATAAAACTCAAGATTTCTCAAAAACTAATTTATGAACAAAACTTTTGAACAAATACATGATAACTAAGAATAAAAAGCACTTCATACAGATCTCAGTTGCAATTGAATAATGATAGCTTGACCTATGGACCAGAAATCCTGCGAATTTTAAGTAATCAACCAATAACCAAAAAATAATTTCTCCAGCTAATGAATAACTACTACTAAAACTAATAAGCGGTAAACTAGTTCAAATTAAATTGAAAAGTTGCTCTTGATACTTGCTTTTACACCTAGAGGACTTCTTGAAAGAAACGAACCCATAGAGACCACTGTCTTTGTTCATCCAATTAAATAACCCTCCATATTCATTTATGGTGATACTAAATGCCTGCGACGAATTCATCGATCTTGTTCCAACATATACCTTAATGTTGACCACTATATCCCACCCAAGTTAGACAGAAATCAGTACCTAATGGTACAAAGGTTTTGCCGAACAGTTTGTCATTGAGGAAAAAGGAACATGAAATGAAAAGTAAAAACATTAACACATAGGCGAATTGAAGTCTGACAAACTGAAGAATTTTCCAGTAGAAGTATACAATAAAAGCAGCTATAAATCTTGTATTACACCGCGACCTCCCATCAGCATTTCGAAACCATCAAACTCATCCCACAAGTTTGAAATCAAGTACTCCGCTCAATCAAAATCATGACTACAAATGCAAATACTTATAACATCTTCAGACTCTTAGAACTTGGGATTCTTCATAGCGATCTTTTTGTTTTCGACGTCATAAAACCTTCCCAGCCCAAACTAAGCAGCATACAAGTTACCACAACCTGCTTATTGTCCCCTCTCCATTTTAGATAAGTCAGTTATATCTCGAATTGCCACCTCGATCTCCAGTAGCTCATACAACAGATTAGTCAAGTTTATTGTCTAGGCCCTGAATAGAGACTAAAACTTACCATCCCTTAGCGCAAGAAAAAATGGATGCATCTAGTAGATACAGCTTCTTTGCCAAGAAGATCAATAACAGCTAAGCTACAAAACAATATACTATTTCATTGCCTTGAGCTTAATGCACAAACGTATGCTGCAAGAAGATGTTATGCCATGAATTAAATAGACCTAGACTGCGGCTCTATGAACTATTTGCTTCAGCAGAAAGAATGTGCCACCAAAACTTGCAAATTATCAAGTCAAGTCAATGTAGTGTACTTTTTACAACAATGCCATATTTGCTTTTCATATATACTATGTTCTAACAAAAGCGTAGTTTTTTTATTTTGCAAAAGTCAATGAACATATGCTCATCATTACAAGTTTTTCAGAAATGCATTAAGATTTTCTTAGAAGCAAAATATCCTTTTCTACCAGTCAATAAAAGTGACAGAGCATTGATCACTCGATTTATGAAAACCACCTACTTTAATGTTCTATTTAAATTTTTCACAGGTATCAAATAGTCAATAGAACCCTGTCATTAGGCTTTCGAAGTTTCTACCATAATCTTGTGTTCTATTGCTTGTTGACATTCAGGCTGCTTATTTTTCTAGTGCTCCTGACAAAGTTATTGTCCCACTGACTATGGCTTATCTATTATATATGTCGTAATTTGGAGGTAGAAAAGTACCTAGCTCTGGTTTAGTTTCCATTTCTTGCAAATAGACTAGCAAGATGAACAAGATTTTACCATAATACCGTTCATTTTGTGAGGACCAGATGCTGCAGACTGCAGTAAAAGATGCAAGACCATTCCATTTATCTTCTATGTATTACACCTAAAAATTTGGCTAATTAAGAATCACATCTTCTTTTCCAAAAAAGACAGATTAAGACAAATAAGTATTTCATGTGTTGCCTACATGTAGACAAAAAATTAGTATTTGCCACTTCAAACAGCAATAAAAAAAAATAAGGAATTAGTATATATAAGATCAAAGAATGCAAGGTCCTAAAAGAAAGAAAAAGATATAATAGAGCAATGTGTAGATGCAAAAATAATTAAAACAAAGATTGCAGGATAAAATCATACTCAGAGAAAATTCTCAATTATTAGCATTCGATTGATGTTGATGTACAGATCCTAAACCTAGTATTCTAGTGGAAGAGGATCACAAGACCATAATTCCCTAATATGAGTTCCATCGTCCTCATAATCTATTTCACGTGCAGATGCATCATTATGTAGCACTTAACCATCAAATTCAGAGACTTCTTCAGATTCTGAGATTTCATCATCTATCATATCAAGTTCTGTTTGAAACAAATTTTGAGAACATTCTTCGTGGATAAAGATGCGTCCTCTTTTCACTTAACCTTGCCGACTCCATCGGTCTTGGTTTATCAAGGATTTGAGTTCGGATCCTGGGCATTTGGGTCGCCATAAAGTGCCACATGTCTATAACATATTTCAAGCTCCCTCTCAGCAATAGCAATAAACCGTCAAATAGAGTCAAGTGATTGCTCGTATTTGGACTTTTCCAATGCCTGAAAGAAGATGAACTAGGTCACTGAAAAGCTTAACAAAATTGTAATGTCCAATTGAAAAGAAAAGGAACACAAACTTGCCAAAATGAAGACAGAGCAGCATGCAGTGTAAGACCCCTTTCTTCCATCACCTAAGATCTATCCGTTCATTATACTGACGCCAACTAGAAGTCTAGAACTGTCATAGGGCCCCGGCCAGCCTGATCTTGGCCAATTCGCCCCATAAAAGCTCGATGAACCTAACATTTCATTGAGCTGTACTGAGTTTAAACTTAGTATTAGGTCTGAATTAAATACGAGTCCATTTCGATTCTTGTTAAATTCAAACTCAATATAGATCTGACGCATTAATTTGTACCTCTGTATATTATTATTATTATATATATAATACATTTATGCTTCGGTATCTACAATAATATCCAAATAAATATATAATCATTAAATACTACATACTTATATCTTAAAATATATCAATATATCAATGCTTATTAAATAAGCGTTGTTTACTCTATCACTTCTTTCTCAGTTCAAGAGTTAAAATTAACTATTCTATTGCTTTCTTGAGGGCCAAAATTAGTAACTCATAGTTGAAGCTCCAACTTTCTTTTTGGTTTAGTAAATGTTTGAGTTGGTATGATATTGGCTATTTTTATGTGCCATTGTTGGTGTTTTTTTTTTTTTTTGGTAAAACGACGAATTGCATATAATAAAAGAAAGCACAACAGATGTCCTTAGCTAATTACAAGGCATCCTAATGCTGTGGGGATAGCAAACCCCTCTAATGTCCTCAACAAAAGCAAAATAAAGTTCACGATGACATGAAACAAAAATCACAAAATATGTTTCCAATTTGCCTCCTAATTTCTTTAGTGCATCAGCACATATGTTGGCTTCGCGAAAAACATGCCGGAGCTGCGAGAGCAGGGATCTGCAATCCATGAGAATAGGATGTAAGGAGTGATCTGGATTATTAGTGGAATCAAAGTAGGGGTAAAATATCAGCACAATCGACTTCAATCTCTAAAGACGAGATATTCAGAGATATAGCTAATTCAATTCCAACCCTTAGTCCCCATAGTTCAGCTAGAATATTCATGGCTATCCCAAATTTCAACTATATCCTTTGATCCAGCAGCCAAAGGAATCTCTGATAATTCCACCTGCCCCAGTTGGATCAGGATTTCCAAGTGCAGAGCCATCCTAATTCAATTTGAACCAATTAATGGTGGGTGGAATCCATCTTACCAAAATTTGGGAATTTTGATTAGAGTTAGAGGCATAGGGGCCCATAGTAAAGAATTCAGTGGCTAAATTTGTGCACCATAGAACAGGATTCGGGCGAGGTTTGTGGGGTTCAAATATGGTTTTATTTGGGAAGGTCCAAATGGTCCAGCATGCAAAAGAAAAAATGATTCCCCAAGGAAGGTCCAAATGGTTTAATTTAAGCTTTGTCCATAAGGTTTGAGCTAAAGGACAAGCCCAAAAAACATGGTCGAAATCTCCAGGTTGGAGGGAACAAAGGGAGTAAGTGTCATCTTAAATAATGTGCCTACTACGGAGTAGGTGTTTAGTTGTTAGTTTGCTGTGGGCAGCTAGCCAGATGAAGTGTTTGATTTTGTTTCGCATTTTTTGGTTCCATATCCAACTAAAAGAGAGGTCAGGGGTTTTGGTGACTGGAATGATGTTCTTTGGTGGCCAACTGATAAGCAGATTTTGACTGAAATTTGCCATTTGGAGAGGGGATCTACTTGAGACAATCATGCAGAGTAGCATGATGGGCTCTAGGAGTGGAAAGAATAGTATTGGTGATCTCTTTGGGCAAAGAGAAGGAGAGCTTATTTAAACTCCAACCTCCATGGTCAGAGAAAAGATCAGCCACTTGTAATTGGTCTTCATGTGGAAGTAGAGGACCTTGAATTTGGCACCTAAGGGTTTCAGAAGAAAACCACTTAGTAGTCCACGCCCTCAGGGATTTTCCATCCCCTATATTCCAGCCAATGCCTTGTTGTGAAATGTCATTGCCAAGTGACAACCCCTTCAGATCTATAGAGCCAGCGAGGTGGTAAAAACTAGCTTATTGGCCAATAGAGATTGAGCTCTATTTACATATAAATCTGAGAGAACTTTTACCCAAGTCTTGGGGTCTTTTAGGATGTGCCATCCTAGTTTTGCTAAACCTTTCTTGTTGAGTGGAGCAATTTGTTTGATGCCAAGGCCACCTTGGTTCTTATTATGTTTGACAACATCCCAATTAATCAAATGAAATTTTCTTTTAGATGGGCTTGAGTCTCACAAAAAAGCTCTTTGTTCTCTATCAATGGCATCACAAATCTTTTTTGGGACAGGTGATACGAATCCGTCCGAAAGTTTGAACTCGTATCCCACGTAGTCCTGGATCTAGATGAAGAAAATCAAGTTGAATTACGGAATAACACTTGACCCTTCTAAAACCCTAAGATTGCGAACCTTGAATTGAATCTCAACTCACAATCGAAAGATTTAGTGAACCAATGTTATTGGTAGAAGAACACCACAACCAAGGTATGTACTTGATTGATAAGTTCAAATTGAATAACTTAAGAAAACTCTCAAGTATTCAAGAAGGACTCTCTTGGAGCAAGAGAAAAGGAATAACTCACATGTTTCTGGAAAATTCTCAATAGCTAAATGTTTGGAAGGATTAGGCTATTTATAACCTTACATGGACTCAAAAACCTAACGTGCTTTGGATAACTCGATTGATAGGCTAATGCCAACTAGTTACCCAAACAAAAAGGAGGAGTAACATCCCAACAAATCAGCCTGTAGTTAGAACACCACAATATTCCACAACAGTCACAATATTCCACAACAAAACAGCCTATAGTTAGAACACTTTTTTAAATAGCTCAAGCAAATGTTAAATAAGTGTAACAAACTTCTTTGGCCCAAAAGAGTCCACAACATTCACAGATAAGGTAATATCCACGGCAAGGAGGTTTATAAGATTGAAACTTCATTTGCAAATAATCATTGTCAGGAATCTCCCCAAACAACAGAGTAGAAAAACAGAACACTGAGTGTCCAAATAAGAAATTGCCACAATGCAGTCATTTTCAAAATTGTGGCCTCAGTTTTAGCCAATTCAACTATTGAAATTTTGTTTCTCCCTCCTTTTGTTTTTCATTTTAGACAAGACTAGAGTCAAGATAATTTCTTTGATAAAATTTAAAAGAGAACACCATTCCATAAAGCAATATAAAGAGCTGCTTTCAAGCCACTAGCTTTCCTAGTGCTTCATCCTTTCTCTGAACATGGCTTCAGCATAATCAAGATTAAACTTTAAATTTTGGATCACGAAAATTTATCATCGAGTTCAAACAACATTGTAAACTTGATGTTTATTATGACAAATCAAAATATTAATTGTCAGCTTGAATGCTACTATAAAAGTGACATTTGCATTTCAGATGATTCCTCCCCTATTTTTATGGAAAACGTTCAAAGAGCACTATCATACCTACATACACAATGCAAGTCACGAATCGCAGTTAAGGCGACTGCACATTTTCACATGTCATGTTGGCCATCCTGAATGTATGGTGAAGTTGGAACCATGGTTCAAAGTCGTGGTCGCGGTTGCAATCGTGGCTTGGACCGTTCCAAATCGGTCTCGATATATCGGTCGCGGTCTCGGTAAGACACAAATTTTTGAAATATTTAATATTTTAAAAATTATAAAATTATATGATAAAAAAATTAAAAAATTAGCAAAAATAATAAAAATTCGAGAGTTGACTCAGGATGATTCGGGACGACTCGGCCGTTTCTATCCATCTCGGAGACGTCTCGGCCGAGTTCTCGGAGTCATTATCTCGAAATCATCTCGTCCCGGTATCGGATCGGGAAGCCCCGTTCCAATGACGACTCAGGACCATGCAAACCATGGACCTCTCATTTATCACTCTATTTATGCTCTATTGGATGGGCAGAACCAGTACTTATCGATGATAATTGTGACGAGGAAAGAACATTAAACTCCTATATAGGAGCCAAGCTCAATGCCAACACAGCCCCGTTTCCCTCACTTTCGTTTCTAATTTTGTTCTTTTTTTTTTTGTCATACTCTGTTTTAGCAGCCAAAGAACCAGAGGCATCTTATAAAAGTGAGTTATTACGGTTTAGAGCTTAGGAAATTTCTTTTCTCCTAAAACAACATCATCATTATCTTTAACTTCAGAATTGAGCCCTTAAGCTATGAATGGCTACAATGAAATACAAAATCACCGACAGCCCTACATAATAAAATCACCAAATTAAGCCCTTAATCAATGCAAACAGAAGCAAAAAGGTGCTGATGTCAAAAGTCATATTAGCTAACATGTTTGAAAATAATTAGTTCATCCATGAGTTATGGATACTTCCGAAAGCAAACAAGACCAAATAGGCTCTGACTTAGAACCCAATAAGGAAGCCACAATCTAAATTCATGATTGTAGCCACAACAATCTACTTGTTGATTACAAGATGGAATTGATAATGAAAATTCAAAATTTTAGAATCAAATACTCCTGTAGAGCCATGCAACTGGCTGGAATGGTATACAACCCGCGCGATCATTTTCATGACACCCAGAAGCTCGTGATAGTCATGGACGACCATATTTAGGACCATCTATCCACCTTTATTTACAACATTTATCAGATATCCAAGAATTATTCTATTGGTAGTATATTGCCAAGAAAGAGAAGAGAGAGATCTAATACTCAAATTATGTTTGCAAAAACTCCTGTAGAGTAACGTAATTATTCAGAAAAAGAAAAAAGAACAAATTTGAGGTCAACCAACTCCTAAGTCCAACAATCTAACAAAAGTTCTGCCAGTTTGTTCTGAAAAGTTCCAAAAAGCTTACAACTTTCTTTTCCACGATGTTATTACTTTTGAACATATCCTTAATACTATGTTGATTCTCATAGTTTTGAAAAGAAAACATTATGATATGCCAATATCATTTTTTTTTTTTTTGTGTTCTTTGCAGGCACTCACGTTAGCTGGTATCTCTGAAGTTTAGTAGCAACTTCATCAGTAAAAGGAT